AGATCGCCATTGGCAAATTTCTTGTAGTAGGAGACATCTGAACCACAAATGCCAGTCGCCTTGATAGCGATCTGAAGCTCACCTGCCGCTGGAGCCTCGAGAGTCCTTGTTTCCTGCAACGCGGGAAGTCAGCCAAGTGTTCGGGTAGGGCTGAAACGACAGCAACCATAGAGGTAAGGTTGTCAGGGTCGGCTTACCAGTCGCAGATCGCGGGGACCATGCAAGACAGAGGCACTGATGCTCAATGGCTTCGATGGACCACTGGGTAGATGCGTTGGTGCGATCTCTCCCGTAGCAACTGGGGCCATAACTGTCAACAACAACGCTTGAAGCGTGGGATAAAGGTGGGATGTTGGTGAGAATGGAGACTTGAGGTCGGGCGATGGCTTGGTCAGTTGCCGTTTGGGGCAAATACAGCAAAGGGGATTGGCTGGCGGAGAGAGATGAAAACGTGGGAGACGGCCAGCGCGTGGGGGTAAGGGCCTAGGATAGCTCGTGGAGGCGCTCCAAGTGCCAAGTGCCTACGAGGTGGATTGGTGTAAGATATAGAAGTATACAAGACTTGATATCCTTGAGCTGTTTGACACGAATGCTTGAGCCGGTTTGGGCAGGTAAAAAGGCTCACGGCTATGTATCAATGGATCGAGGAGGAATGAGCCAAAGGAAGACGGGTTCCCACCCCTTAAGTACCTACTAAGATAGCACTCCTCACCAGTAACCTCCGGAGCAATTCGCCAGAGGAGTCCGGATCGAGAGCAATCAGAAGCAAGGGCGTGCGCTCATCATCGAAATGCTCAGTGCCAAGGTGGAGCGGCGTCTTGAGGCGTTTGAATTGGGAGGGAGAAGGCCCAGTCAGGAGGCAACAAGCTATCGGTGGGAAACGAGGAGCTTTCCGTTAGGTGTTGTCATATCGCAAACTACCTAGCTGCAGGACTTAGCACGATGGCAATGGCGTATCGGCAGAACGACAGCCCCTGATGCTCAAGAGAGCAAGATGGTCGCCATGTGCCTGGGCCGAGGCCGGACGACCAAGCAGAATTGGTGCATGTTTGACGGACGAGCCTGTAACAGGCGTACAGGCGGGCGTCTTGCATGCACAGATGGGGCGTCACTGAGGGCCCTGATGCTTGTTCGCGGGGCGCGCTATCAAGGGTCTAATAGCGACGTCTACTTGCTGGGCCGTGCTGGAAAATCGTGGACAGGGACATTGTAGTAGGTACCTAGGTAAGTGAAAAGTGTCCAGGCTAGCAGAACACCATGTCGCTGACAGAGGAGGGCTAGAAGGCGTGCTGCCAGAAGAAAATGAGTCTTTTCGTGATCACGGCTTATACGAGTGTTGACGGTTTTGACAATGCTGGCCACCACTGACTGGTGCCCGCTCGTCTAAAGAGGAAACAAGATCATCAATTGTGACGAACGTACGTGTGCCGTAGATACTGTTGCATGCCTCCGCGGCGGAAAACGGCCAGGTGTACCGGGGACCATGTTTGTCCTACTGTAGCATGCACAAGCAGCATCGTGGTGTGGTCCCTAATCAGCCCGAGATCGCGGTGAGTGAGATTGTGGAAGACATCCATGACAGTTGCAGAGTGTCATTGACGTACGTGTCTGGAACGTCAACGACTGCAATTGAAGACAAGGCATTGCTTGATATCGACTTTAAACAGAGGGAATCCAGTGTGGCAAAGGCTGGCCAAGCTTGAGTACGGTCCGTGCAAATAGCGGTCTCATCGGCCTGGATGGATGGATGGATGGATGGATGGATGGATGGACAAAATGAACATCACCATTTCGACAGTTCCAGCTCTCAAGAGCTGTCGTCAACGGTTATCCAACCGTCGTCAGCCACCAGCCAACAATGGATGCGCTATGTTGAGTCGCAGGCAGCAGGGCTAGACAACGGGCCGAGTCATATCCCCCGTTAACTACTAACTAAGGTACGTCGTACTTCTGGGAACATGAAGTGAATTTGAGAAGTGATCAATTTGTCTCAAGAGTTGATGGTGGCCAAGGATGGCTTGCTGCGAGACTGTCAAGGCCAGTGGAGGCATGCTTGATTCTGCAATGCTCGTAGGTCAAGCTGAACAAGACTGATGGGAAAAGAGAGCATAACTACCAGATAAGGTGCCCGCATTGTTCGGTGCAGAGGTGGCCACAGAGGTTCTCTTGTCTCAACTGAGCCTTTCCTTTTTGATAGCAATCTCCTCCAGTGCATGTACCTACTAACCTTGCCGGCCGTGTATCACACCAATCGGGGGATATCCATCCCCTCCAAGTTCCAGGACGAAGGGCAGAACTTTAACCAAGAACCAACCTTTCAGTCCTCGTCGGTCTTCTTATTACCTCTGTAGGAAACACCTTGTGCTGTCTATAACAGTGCCTCGGGGTCGATTTCTCGCTGGAACAACCAATGTTTTGCTTCAAAGGAACTGAAGAATATTACACGGGAACAATTTGAAGCTTTGGGCTGTGATCGATCAAGATTTATACATAGCTGCTTATCACTTCCACTTGTCTGTCTTGTCATGTCGTGCCTTATCAAGCGTTCCAAGGGCCAAGGATCAACCACATAAGAAGCAACACGATGTCGACAGTAAATCTATAGTTGGCAGGGATCAGAGGGTCATACCCCGGACCCCATATGTAAGTATGGTCCAGCCCTCCCTCCCTCCCTCCCTCCCTCCCTCCGTTTGGCGGGGATGGGGTAGGACTGCTTCCGCAATGTTCTCAGTTGTCTTGTTGTTGACGGCGATCTGTTCTCTCCCGATGGGGGTGAGAATGAATGATGGTTTCCAGGTGTGGTGGCTATGGTGCCTCCTACCAATAAATATGTACATCCATGGTTTACCTAGGAGTGTTATATGGGAAACGCCAACAATGGTACAGAGTAAGGTACCTTAGGTAGGCTTGATACATGCATGTTTTGGTTGCCAGCAGCCTCATCATACATTAGTACTTAGGTAGCATGAAAATTTTCAACAGCCAACACACGAAAACAATCTGCACGTCTTTCCTTTCGCCTAAGACCAGGCTAATAAAGCTTGCATCAACAGCCAAGCAATACTGGGCCATTCCAGGGTTATCTGGACCATTCGGATGTTGAGAAGTTTTCTAGAATGCAGCTCGCTCCATCCTTGCCGCAAAGTTCAGCTTGATCCAAACCCAACAGCTCAAGGTAGCCAAGTGCCGACACCACATACGTGCTCAATTCCTGACGCATTGACTCTCTGTCAAGGCGAAATATTCCGTTGTCCTAGATAGCCTCTACATACCAACAACAAGAGAGTTGCACAACTGATTGGCCTGCGGTAGCTATCTTGCTGCACGTCTATTCTAAGGGTTAGCCACAAGGTGCAGAAATGACGAGATGCCATGCGCTTGGGGTTCCACTACTTCATCCCAACCCCTGGATGTGACAGACTGAACCATGGAAGTCTTGAAAACCCGCCCCAGCCGGAAGTCAATTATGATAACCGCCAGTCGCGGTTAACCCCCCCCCCCCCACTATTCTTATTCAGGCTTTATTCCAGGATTCCGACAACTGATCTAACGTTTTAGTCAACCAGGTATCAACATCAGAGAATAGGCACATCCTCCAGACTACCTAGGTAGTAACTAGACGATCCGGAGACTGAAACTAGTACTCCATTACTCTCGTACAAGCGCGTATGTATAGCTGCAACCCAAGGCATGAAACGACGGACGAATAACTCGCTCCCACACAGTTCAAGCCATGACAGTCGCCAAGTACTAATTAGGGTGCCATGAAAGTGCTATGTGTAGGGAGGTAATCGCAATCCCTTCAGACCGCCTCTTTCTTGAGCACGACATAGTATGTACATTGGATGCTTGCTTGGCCTCGCTCAGTCAGGCATCGTCTCATTGGACTACAAGGCCAGACAGTGAGCGGAATACAAATGTTAGCACGCAAACTCTATTCTAAGAGAAAGCAAGCAATGCAAGACACATGTCAGCTCCCTCCTACAGTACAGTACCGTATGTACGTACGTTACCCAGGAAGAAGGTTAATGGACACAGCCAACCAGCTGCACATGTGTCTCGAGGCAGTATTTGATAGGATGCCAGTCTCAATCTTCCGCTTGAGGCCTTCGTTGAGAAACAGCCCTATGGGTGCCGTCCGGCAACCATTGGAACCTGCAAGACTGGTTGGTTCAATTTTGGGCCTTGCTGACAGTCTTGTTCATGCAAGATTGACGGGATATACTATTCGACTGAGGTTGAGAGCTTACTTACAGGTAGTTAGTTACACCTTTGCTCCCAATGCTTTCAGGGTGACACAGCATATGTGCACAGCAGGTTTCACCATAATCATCATAGAAATGCAATCTACATACCACCTCCAGAGTCTCGAACTGATGTTCTATGCGACCGTTACATGGCGTAGAGTGTTTTTCTGCAGCTTGGCCTCGGTCAAGATTATAGTCAGGGTCTCCCTGACCGGATTTCAGCATCAGACGAGGTATATCCAATGAACTCAAATTATCTTATCTATCAATATCTTTCTCAGCTAAAGACATAGGCTCATGTGAATGATGAAGCATACTCCTCGGACCTCATTTGTGATCATGAAAAACTCTCTGATGAGTCTTTATCACAGCTTTGACTTGATACGCCAGTCATCACGTCGCATCCTCCACAATTGGGAGCTGGAGATGTGTAGTCTTCCTTGTAACCAACCCACCAAGTCTATACACCGCCATCCCTTTAAGATCGAACGATGGTGATAAATGACAATGAAGTTCCGGCAGCACAATGTGATTATCAAAAGCATAGTGTTCTGTTACACGGCACATCCATCTACACCATGGCGTTTGACATAAACTCATGAGGCCTGAGACGAATAGAAGATTACAAACGCAGTGATAAAAAAAATCAGTTTTACATGACACCAGGCTCAGAGCAATGCTATCAAAAAGAGGAGGGAATCTGATGCAAGCCCCTTATTCGTCATCCACATAGGCACTCGTTGCTACTGCAGCTTAGAAGGTGCTGGCCGCCAGCCGGCTCGCAGCATTCCTGGCATCCACACGATCCTCGTCATCCTCTTCGCTGACACCCTTAAGGCCGGCACGGCCCCCCGTCTGTCGCCCTTGAGCTACCTCGGTGTTCTCTTCGCTCTCGCCCTCCTCTGACACCTTACTGATGAGACTGCCTGACACGCTGCGACCCGTGGCATCTGAACGGCGAGGAACGCCACTCCAAGAGTCACCCTTGGGGCCTTGACTGGCTGCGAGACTTGATCGACGCACGGTAGGATGCGACTCACGACCCAATCGGCTCAATCCACCGGAGGCGTCAATTGATCGGATATCCGGTCGGACCGTCTCAAGTAGGGCCAGAGTCCGCCTCTCAGCTTCAATCTCTCTGAGCACATATTCCCTAATGCTCAGGCGGAGATCTGCAGAAGTTCTCGAGAACCACTTGCGACGTTCCTGGACCAAGTTCTGGGTGACACGGTTGGTCTTGTTGTACAAGTAGGTCTCGTGCTGGCGAGCGTCATCCAATGCTGTGATGGCCTCGTCCACCTTTTCGCGGCGAACACTCGAACTGGCCTTGAGGCGATCAGCCGCATTGAGCTTGCTACGGGTAGCTTCCTGAGCTTGTAGGAATTCGCGAATCAGGATCTGTCGGTTGGTAAGCGACTCCTTGACTATGAAAGCGTCTTGTGAGTGATATTGAAATGGGTCGCCAATAGTTGTAGCCTCTGCTGTCGCTTGGGCAGCATGATAGTCGCCGACGGTCTGGACGACTTTGCCCAGCTTCCGATATGCATTTGCCAAACCAGGGTGGGGTTCCTGGACATGCATACTTGTGAGTTTAGCACCGTAATCGGCTTCGGAGAGGCCAAGTCCTAAAGATGTTCAGCATGCTAGATTTGTGCGGTTTGTCAGAAGCTTACCCCTCCTAGCCTTCACCAGCTTATCAACCTTGTGGCCAGCATCCATGCTACCAAGATAAAAGAGCTTGACGGTTGGACGTGCGTCCGCAAGCTCAGGGGTATCATCAGGGGGTGGAGCGAACTGCTTCAAAATCTTTCTGCGGACGCCTGTCGCTGGCTGCTTCTTCTTCACCATGGGGCTATAACCAAAGTCACTCTCCACAAAGAGTACCATCTCGTCATCCCGCATCAGGATTTCGTTGCCGCAAACGTAGTTCAGCCACCGCTGCATCAGGGCCTTGACCCGAATCTCGTCCTCGTCTGTCCCAGCTCCAGCGGAGGTAAGAGGCGGCGGGACCGCAGGGACAAACACCTCTGGATTCGCAGATATCAGATGGTCGGCGAGTTTAACAAACTCGGAGTGTAGACGGCGAACATCTCGGAATTGAGTTGTTCGAAAGCGGGGAATATTAGTCTGTGACTTGTCAGTCCATCATGGAGGTATCAAAAGGAGACGGAAATCGTACGTGAACATCGAATCGGAGGATGGGATCCTTCTTGCCAGTGCGTTCGAGTCCCGTAATCTTGGCTTGGAGTCGATACTGAGGCCCAGCCGGTTTTGGGGGGTGCTGTTCCTGTTCAGGCTGTGAAGCCGGCGCACCAGCCTGGTTGTGTTGCTGGCTATGTGCTTGAGATTGTTCGTCCTCCCCAGCTGACGGTTCAGCGCCTGTGGATTGCGACTGCGCCTCTGAGGTGTTCAGCGTACCTGAAGCCTCAGTACCATCTTCAGTGCCGGAAGCTGTAGTCGCAGTCCCTGGACGCTGGAATTCTTCAGACTGAGATGCAGGCTGGTCCTGAGACAGGCCATTCGAGGATTGTGTGTTGTAGCGAAAGGGAGGAGGAGCATCAGCTGAGGCGGGATTGAAGGCAGCAATGTTGTTTCGCGATGGAGACGACACAGGGGAGTTGCCCCATGGTGAATCGCCTGCGGGATCCTCCACGTCGTGGATCGTGGAGCTGTAGTCCATCGCAAGTGAAATATCAACGATAGAATTTGGCGATTGTGTCGGTTGGACGATTGTTGATGAGAGAGAGAGGCTGGAGGAATGACGTTGCGTTGGTTCAGCGCGCACTTGAACTAAGTCCAGTCGGTGGTCGGCAGGGACGGACGGGGGTAGCGAGCAAGATGGAGGTGGAGTACGAGTACCAAATTGAGCGGGCGAGGACGGGAGCTGCCCAGATCCAAGCTGATGGGCACCTCTTTAACTATAGTAATGGATTGATAGCATGACAATAGTAACTTATACTTCCTCTCTTTCTACAATCCTCGAGACTCATCATCTTAAATGAGTACCTTACGCCTTAAAGTTCTAGGAACTGAGGTCGCCCCAGATATCAGGTAGCCCATTTACAACCTACCTTATTCTTGCCATTAATCGTCTGAGGCGTTTCTCTTCGTGTAGTGCAGCCATTCCCGTCTAGGCTGGGGAGCTTACTTAGGTACCTTACCTGGGCCCATGACACCTGACCGAGGTGGCACCCATCCCATTTGCTTCCATTCATTCCTTGAGGTGAGCTCCCACTACAGCCTGGGTAGTTACTCTTATCTTATCAGCGCCAAAAAGTTGTTAGTGATGAGGGGGGCCTGGAAAATGTTTTGGCTCGACATCACTGGTGAAACCTTGTCAATTATACTTTTTTTTGCGCCGACTCAAGTGACTCTCCCTGTCTTCTTACATTCGTTCTAACAACAAATCTTCAGAATCGACGCCCATTTAACATTCAACAATGGGTAAGAAGCGAGCGCGCGAAGAGGGCAAGGATGTCCCGCCGGCTGATGTTGACAAAATGGACGAGGACGGTTCGGATGACGAGGTATGTGAAATGCTTTCAAAGTTGTATGCGCATCCTACTGACTGCACCAAAGGACTTCGATATGGTTGACGTTGATTTTGAGTGGTTCAACTTTGACCCCGAGGTCGACTTCCACGGCACCAAGACCCTCTTGCGACAACTATTCGATGTTGATGCGAATCTCTTCAACATGTCTGCCCTCGCCGATCTCGTTCTCTCGCAACCCACCATTGGTTCTACCATCAAAGTTGACGGAAAGGCCACTGATGCCTACGCCATGCTCACTATACTTAACACGGTTGTCCACCAGGAAAAGGAGCCCATGAACGATATCATCAAATACCTGATCGAGAAGGCGCAGAGTAGCTCGTCACTGGCAACCATTGCCGACGTTCTCAAAAGTGGAAAGCACGTGGGACTTGTGTTCTCCGAACGCCTCATTAACATGCCTTCTGAGCTGGCCCCACCACTATATTCAATGCTTATCGACGAGGTTGAGGCTGCTGTGGAGGACAAGGAACCCTACGATTTCACCCACTACTTGATATTGTCCAAGACATACCAGGAACTCGAGTCTAAGTTGGATGTCGAGAATCAGAAGCGCAAAAAGGCAAAGGAGGAGGCCGGCATTTATTATTTCCACATGGAGGACGAGGTGCTGCAAAAACACGCTGTAGCGCACGGCAATTTCAATTACACAAAAGAGGACGAGTCAGCGGCAGACAGCAAACGGGCATTCCAAGAAATGGGCGTCAAGGCACACGGGCACATGATTCTTATCGAAGCGAACAAGTTCCCAGGGGCGGTCAAAGCTGTTAATGAATATCTCAGTGCGGCGCAATAGATGAGATGAAGCTCAGGCACTCGGTTCTAGCCTTTGCATCAAGTATTCCACCTCGACTTCCTTGGTCAATGGGATAACAAAATCCTTGTACATTGAAACAACAGCGTCAACATCGATTTTCGCCGCTCCCTCGGTTCCTTCGGGGATGGAGGGGTCCTTGCCGTATGTCAGAGCCTTGAGTCGTAGTCGCTCAAGGACCTTCTTCTCCACGGCTGCATTGGTGATAGATTCAGCGATGCCCTCCCGATCTTCAGCCTTGATAAGCCGAATATACTTTTCCTCCTCCGACCGGAACTTGGACTCCGCGACAAACTTGCCGAAGTGAATGCGTCGTGATAGAGCTTGTAAACAAGCAATATCGCAAGTTGCGGTTGAGCCGTAGTTTTCTTGAGATTCACCCCGCTCCTCGCGTCCGAAATCGGGGCACACTGCGGGGAGAAACTTTTCCGTATAGAATTTCTTGATCTTGTCGTTCACATTGACGTTGTTCTCATGCAAGATCTTGGGGTAGTTGAGAGGCTTGAGTATTGGGTTTTGCAATGCATCGGGGAAGAAAGGATATTCGTCAGGCGACTCGAAGCGTCGGATAAGGGATTGTAGCTTCTCCTGCTCGCGAAAATACCAGTCGAGGAAGCTCAGGTTCGCTTCAGGCAATTCCACGGCTCCAGGAACGTAGATCCTCTAGAATGATGACATGGTTAATTATTGCTATTATGCGATCTGGGATCTTGCGGCTGGACCGGGGTTTGCATGAGGCGTTCTAATCCCACTTACACCATTCAATGCGAATTGTACTCTCTCGATCAGATGGAAGGTGATTGTGTCCTCAAGGCGACTACCAATGTCAATCTGGGTGCTCAATGGCAAAAAAGGTGGTACGGAAAGCCGGGAGTAGCTCATACATAAGTTGGAATCGGATTCGGGCCAGATCCAGTGCGTGTGCGGCATCGGCCATGTTGATAACGGTATCCATACTGGTTCTGATTAAAAAAGAAAGGAATTGAACGCCTTTGAGATGTGCTTCAGCCTTCCGAGGTGTATATCTTGACTTGAAAGATCCAAAGATTGGGTCCAGACCTCGTAAAAGACAGAAATTGGGCAATGAGTTGTACAAAGTCAATATTGAAGTACCGAAGGGTTAATCACCACCTACTAATATTAGTTCGTAACATAAAGCGGGCACGGAAAGGCTGGAGCTCTGTACGAAAAGACTGCAGGCCATGAGATGGCCGGCAAGAGCTCAAAGGGAGGAGGGCATGGACGGAACTAGAGCCGGCATTTCCCTTCCCTTGCACCCACTTCCTGCGGCACAATAAAATTGAGCATGGAGGGGTAAGCTCGGGGAAGAAGTCCAGCTCGGTCTTGAACGTCACTGGGAGTGGAGGGCATTTTAAAACACCTTACAGGGCACAGCTTCACCAGTGCGCCACTATCATCGCAGCCCCCAGCGATCATTCCAGCAGTTCCAGCGCTGTGGCATAAGTGTCGCATGAGCCAATTACAGAGGGATGTCATCCATCCAATCCTGCTCTTGCCCACATTAGCGTCTCGGATCAGAAGCCTCCCAAGCCCAAATCCAAGCCTGTTCGGGTCTTTTTTGCCCTCCACCTCAATAACCAAGGTTATCCCGGCGCGCGTCATGATAAACTCCTCGTGAGCTGCCAAATCTTTTGCTTCTTCCTTGTGCGAAGCCTCAGCGTCAATCATTCACCTCAATCCAATCGCTCCAAGGCCCTCCGATTCTCTTGAGCTTCTGCACCTCCGCCAGGAGCTAGGCCATGGCGAACCAAGAGACTCACTATGGCTTCGACGAAGGCGGAGATGACGACCAGTCTATTGTGTCGGTGTGTAGATACCTACTCGAGTTCCATTGTCTCTTGTCATACGGGCCGCGCATAGCTAACCTCAATGCTTCGTTTCTTGGTTAGACGCGCGGACTCGAGGCTTTCAGTCGAAAGGTCACAACTACAGCTACTCATTTGATCGGACCCAATGCCGAAGCCACGGCCCATCACTACCAAACCGCGATGGCCGAGGTGCACAAACAAATGAAGCGGCCGACGGTCCAGCGAAGCATGTTCGCGATGGCCAGGACAACCCCAACCGACCTCATGCGCTCCAGACTTTCAACGCACGAAATCCAGCATCGCGCTTTGACATACCTTCCCGATGAACTGCTTGCCAATATTCCTGAGCATGATAATCCTTACTCGCTGTTTCAGGGTTTCCAGGCCAGCTTCCCCGAGCTGACTGACGAGGGCAAAAAGTTCCAGCGACGAGTCACCCGCGGTCGCAAGATGCTGGAAGACTCAGACGGGACGCCAGGAAGCCCCAAAAAATTGACTCAATTAAAAAAAGAGAAGGCTGCCATGATGCATGAGTTTGGATTGCTGGGCACTCGTAAGAGCATGGCGAGCTACGAGATTCGGGAAATCGATAACAAAATCGCTAATCTCCACGGCATGCGAAGAATTATTCTGGACAGGCTCGCTGGGTTGGAACAAGATGAAGCTATGCTGGAGCACGACAGTATGTGATGTGCCAAATACGTGACAAGCCTCTACTGACTTGACAAGTTTCCGAGATGGAAATCCGAGTTGATGAGGCGCAGGCGCTGGTTGATGAGGCTGAGGAAATCGCACGAAATACACGAACCCAGGATGAACAAGATCTGGTAGGCGATGCCGATGATCACGATCATGAGTTCATGTCCCAGTCAGTTTATGATAAGATTCCCTCCTCAGAACCAGGTAGCACGCCCCGGAAAACGAAAAAGGTACATCGTAAGAAGTCAATGCCCATTCTGCACGAGCATTTCGAGCCTGGCACAGCTATTCGCGAGCTCCGAGCACACAAGGACACGATTACAGCTATTGATTTTGACGCCCCCTTCGGTACCATGGTTACTGCTGCGCTGGACGATACAGTTCGCGTTTGGGATCTCAACGCTGGTAGATGCATGGGTTATTTGGAAGGGCACACTGCTTCGGTACGCGCCTTGCAGGTTGAGGATAACATTCTCGCAACGGGCTCTATGGATGCGACCATTCGACTCTGGGATCTCAGTAAGGCGCATTACGACCCTCACGGCGGCTTGGGAAAAGACGACGATGAGGATGCTATCGCTTTTGGAACGGATAACCACCTCGAGCCCCCACCTGGTAGCATGGCCGATTGCCCTCTGTACACATTGGAATCACATGTCGACGAGATCACAGCCCTTCACTTCAGGGGCGATGTTATGGTTTCCGGTTCTGCAGACAAGACGATTCGCCATTGGGATCTTGAAAAGGGACGTTGCGTGCAAACATTAGACGTTATGTGGGCGGCAGCAGCAAGTATGACGACTACAGACAGCGGGTGGCGACCTACGGGGCGGTCTCAGAGCAGTTCGGCCGACTTCGTGGGTGCATTGCAGGTATTTGAGACGGCACTTGCTTGTGGTACCGCAGACGGCATGGTGCGACTTTGGGATCTTCGAAGCGGCCAGGTCCATCGCAGTCTAGTTGGCCACACAGGTGCAGTTACGTGTCTCCAATTCGACGATGTGCATCTGGTGACGGGAAGTGTAGATCGAAGCATCAGAGTATGTTGTTCTTTTATATTCTAAAAGTACATCGTGACTAACTGCGACCACAGATTTGGGACCTTAGAACAGGGTCTATTTACGACGCATATGCTTACGACAATCCAATCACAGACATGATGTTTGACGCCCGAAGAATCGTCAGTGCTGCTGGCGAGGACGTTGTCAAGGTGTACGATAAGGTGGAGGGACGCCAATGGGAATGCGGCGCAGGCATCACAGCCGCTGAAGAGGGTAAGACTCCCGCCATTGTGGAGCGTGTACGTGTAAGAGATGGATATCTTGTTGAAGGCAGACGAGATGGTGTCGTAGGAGTATGGACGAGCTAAGATATACGTGTGTAATCTGTAAAAGAAATAATGAAATCCACTCATGACGACTTGAATCATGAGCAGCATTTTGATCATTCAGTTTGTGGCTTTATAACCAGAGAATGAGCGGATATTGCTGGGATGATTCACTATATAAGAATATACGCTGGACTCGATGCTAATTAGGTACTTGTTTAGGATGTTCAAGTGGATCGTCTTGACGAACATTGTATGTGAAGACTTCTTCCTGTCTCATTGGGTGCTCAGTACGACCAGTTCCATGGTTGAGCGGTCATGTGTCAATCTGTGCTTTTACACTATTATTGATCACAACACTGCAGTCCTGGCGGATGACAAGCGTTTTGAAATAACATTGCCTTTCGACTAACTAGGCTGATTTAAATCTCTTTGTTAACTGTATCTCTCCTGGAATATGGCGTCAGCGGCATATGGGGAAATTCTCGTCAGGTATTTCGAGATAACTCAAGAGCTCGTTCAGGCACCAGACGCTCGGCCGAGAACGACGAATACAGGCCCTTCAAGCCCTGAAGAGTCCAAGGGGGCTTCTGGGAGAATTTTAGGGAAATCGGCAGATTCCGCTGCGCATACAGATCCCACAGGAGATGCCGTGGTTCGACTTCTTGCACGGCAGGCTCATGCATTGATCACAATCCACAATGATTTGACGTCGAATAAGAGCATCGTCAATATCAATCAGGGTCTCCTTAAAAGAAGGATAGCAGACTTGATCTCCATCTCATCATCCAAATTTTACGCCTACCGCTATGACCTCCTCCCTGTCGTATGGCGTCAGATATACACTGACGCTTGCATCCTTGACTCTTTTAGCCTCATTGTGCAACCACTCATAATCGATAGCATTGTCCCAGATAAGCTTCTAGATCTTCTCGTTGAGAAGCTTGACAGAGCACTCATCACGGCTGGTGGTGGTGGACGACAAGAATGGCTTGAGGAGACGATACGGATGCTTGAAGTAGCCTGGACGGCGATAGAGGAACACGAGAGGCCAACAAAGCGCCAAAGATATGACACTTCGACGCAATGCTTTTCCAACTACCAGCCTCACGGACAACCGAGGCTCTCGCCTACGAGGGAATGTCCTCGACACTCCGGCTGGACAATGCCCCAGTTTGAAGGCTATATGAATGGGAACAACGGAGAGCCTCGGCCTGTTATCTTCACAGATTTAATTACAGAGTGGCCTGCTCTCACAGACCGCCCCTGGAAGGATCCAGGGTATCTCCTCTCTCAGACCTTTGGAGGGAGACGTCTGGTACCGGTTGAAATCGGTAGAAGTTATGTTGATGAGGGTTGGGGTCAAGAACTTATCCAGTTCCGTGATTTCCTTGATCGCTATGTTACGGGAGATGCAGATAGCATTGGCTATCTCGCCCAGCATAACCTCTTCCAGCAGATCCCTTCTCTTCGTAACGACATATCCGTACCGGACTTCTGCTGGGTTGACGTCCCACCTCATCCAACAACTCCGTCTCTAAATCAGCCGCCGGTTGATATGCCCCAGCTCAACGCCTGGTTCGGCCCAGCGCGCACTATCACGCCTCTTCACACTGATGGCTATCATAACCTGCTCTGTCAGGTCGTTGGAACAAAATATATCCGTCTGTATCCTCCTCGCGCAACACATGCGATGCGGCCGCGAGCATCTGAGCATGGTGTTGATATGAGCAATACGAGTGGATTGGATGTGGGTGTGCTCGAAGAATGGGATGAGAAACCCAAAGATATGAATGACAAAGATGTCCAACAGATGAGGAAACAGCTCGAAGGTATCGAGTATTGGGAATGTATCCTTAAACCAGGAGACACACTGGTTATCCCTATCGGATGGTGGCATTATGTGAGAAGTCTAAGCGTGAGCTTCAGTGTGAGCTTCTGGTGGAATTAGTAGGCCATGGGGGACCAGAAGATCCACGGGTGATAGTCACACGCATCTGCAGGAGGCTAATACACACATTTCAGCGACTGTGATGTGATAAGACTAAAATGCGGGTCGTCAACATTGTCGATCCATTGCCTATGGACAAGACTCTGCTGATCCAAAGTCCTATAGATTTTACAGAATATCAAAAAGACCTGTGGCCCCTTTGTTACCCAGCTGTCGATGCATCATCCACGCTCTCACTCGTTCCTTGGGCCTCTCTCCGAGCTTTCGCCCCAGCCTTCAGTGTCTCCCACTTCTCACGATACTTGTCCAAAACCTTTTGCATCTTTCGGTTGTCCTTTTCCAGTCGCTCCATCTGTTTGACGGCTGCGGTTAGCTGTTCTTCCAACTCTTGGTTCTTGCGACGTAAGGATTCATCGGCAACTTTGCTGGTATGTGGTGAAGCAGTGGGCGATCCAGGGCGCATGAGACGGTAACTTTCAGCAAGAGCCATTGCGGAATTCTGGGCACTGGCTTCAAAGGCGTGAAGCCGCTTGGTAAGCTTATCCAGCGTGTCCTTTAGAGATTTATTTTCAGTGTACAGCTCTTCGATGATGTTGTTGAAGTCCTTGTCAGTCCGGGCACGGCCAATACGGCGTTTGGCTCCGGGTGACAGCGGGGGTGCCTCTCGGGCATCCACAAAGTCGTCGTCATCTTCATCATGAACATCGAGAAGATCACTGTGGGACGATGCCCCAAGTCTTCTCTTTTCCTTCTCGGCAAAGCTGAGAATATTTGCATAAGACATGGTGTGGCCAGTAGTGGGTACAACGTAGAAAGAATCATTAGCTCCGTGTCCTTCTCTAGCAAGAGCCTGCATGGTTGCCTTGGAGTAGATTTTGCTAAGGTCTGGTTCTAAGACCTTGGACGGGGACGCCTTAAGGTGACTACGCTTGGGACTGGGGGACATTTCTGGGGAGTCAGGTGTTTCTGAAATGGTGGATTCCTCTTGGATTAGTGGCAGACCGGCAAATGCCAAAGGTGCTGAGATCTTATTGATAAGACTCCCGAATGTGTTGTAGAATCGAGTATATCCTCCGTCATCGCTGGGTGCCGCAGAGGAAGATGTGTCGGTGCGTGGGGACGATGAGGCTTTACCATAACTATCGGAGCGTGTGGTTGCAGGGACAGGTGGTACCCACGTCGGTTTGCCAGGCTGGTGATCGATGATAGTCTGCATCTTGGCCTTGGTTCCACGAGGGTGCGAGGCTGCGTCTAGATTTCCGGGAGCTTGGTCATTGGAGACACTGGGCGCCAGAGGTTGGCCTCTATACTTTGATCGGATGCCACGAGCGGTAGCCAAGTTGCTGGCGATAGAGGAGGACATCTCCCGCGGAGCATATCTACGCTGAGTCGGAGGGGACAGTTTCTTTGACGCCGTAGAGCCCTTCTTGTTTTCCTTCTTGTCGTCCTCATCCTGTGTGGGGAGGTTCGCTTTGGTTGACGAATCCTTCTCGTTGAGATCGGTATCGCTGGCCTGGGATGTAGGTTCGGTCGGTCGGTTCAAGATCTCGGCGATCCTGCGATGGTGTTGTTCTAGGAGCTTCAGTGTTCGCAGAGCTTCGATGCTGGAGGTCGATCTGGCAGCGTTGGCGAACTCGCCAGCAGCTTGAGTATGTTCCGTGATTGCGACTGTGCTGTCGGAGGAGTGGTGAGCGACACTTGCGGCGCGCACATGATCGTGTGCTTTTACAAGCGGAGACGAGTCCATTGTTCCATATGCAGTGAGCTTCAAGAGAGCTTGGTTTGTCCCTGGTGTGCTGCTTAAACTTTCGGGTTTGTTATTGAGTTGTCGGTAGTACTAGGTTGGGTTGTTATCGTAACATGATGAGATCAAATGTGGGGAGGCACAAGACCACTGGTGATGGCGTTTGAGTGGCTCCGGGCCCAGACATAGTCTCTTCCTACCATCAGTACCTAATAAGGTGGGTAGGTATTCCAATTTGCGATTGACTCTAACAGGTGGGAAAACGGCAGGCAGAGCTATATCAACACATGGCTCATGGGTTGTTTACGGCATTTCGAGGGTCTAGTAACACGAGATCTTACTACTGTAAAAGTCTTCACTCTGAGATTAAAGGCCAGATGGAATAATGGATGTCTTGCTTATTTCCTCCTGAGGTTACATAGCTAGCACCCGACAATTTAGCTTTTGTTTGGCGGGGTTAAGATTAATTACCTGCTACCTTAGACGCCCAGGCACGTAGAGAGTGATCGGGTATTTCATGACGACACTGACTCAAATGTGGAGAATGACTGCGAATTATGAGGTAAGATAAAGTACTACACACAGAGTAGTAGGCAAGGTAATGCAGTGTGTTTCAATACGTATTGTCACCTTTTTGCGGATAAGCAGTTTCCTTAGTAGAGAAGACGCCTGATTTATGATATGCATATGTTAATAGGTAAGTTAGTAACCAGGTAAGGTACCTATGTGACCTATGGTCTTGGTCTATCTTAGTAGGTAGGTAGGTAGGTAGTCCTTTTACCCTAAAGTGAATAACAATAGGTCGAACTTTTATAAAGTGAAATCACAAGTTCCCCCGATAAACGATAAACCGTGTCATCCTTAGACATACATTACGACTTTCAGCCTTCTCTCAATGTTTGTAAGCATATTAGACGCTTGTGGCTTTGAGGTCCAAGTCAGTGCATATACCTTGGTGGTGTTGGATCGTGAACGAGTCCCTACACCACCAGAGCCATATTAAAGATTCACGAATGAATATAACTCTTTTCCATACAAGCCCTTCTGGCTTTTGTCTTTGCCCCTTCTTTTCCTTTTCACACATATTATTAAGGTACCCATTACGATTTAAATAAGACACTCTGTTCTTTACATCATTAGGTATTGTATAGCGAACTTCGTACCTGCCTTACAAAGGTGGTGTGTTAAGGAGTCTAGACGTTACTGCGCCACAGAGTCTCACCCAGCTCTTCCACAAGCTTCAAACAAAACCCCATCGTTTGGCCAGAGCTTCAGCAGGGATCAAGTCTGACTGGTCCCACCAGCTAAGCATCTACGGAGATCATCATTGGCGTCCTCACTAGTCCACTTCACAGGGATATGTACGCGGGTTCATCGGTTAAGTTCAGAGCTTCCAGTTGGTTTCGGTGGTTGGCTGGTTGATTCGGACTCTAATAATGTGCCTACACCAACCGAAATACCTACGGACTTGCGAGCTAATTCACGTCCCCTGAAGTCACCCTTTATTGATAAAAGCCACAGGCTTGGTTAAATGCAGTACGCATCCTTTCAGACACAAGTTGGAAACCACGCATGCGGTTGAAGTTGAATAACACCCAATCGAGAGGAATTCCACAGAAACCAAATCGAACAAGACTTGACCCGACTTGGCGTGGCCGTAGTCTGGCCCGTCATAGTTAAACCATTTGGGCTAAAACAAACCAACGACGTCAACTCTCTTATCCTTGGCTCGATCGTCATCCAGCTTTCCACGACAGGACCTCATTACTTCCTAGTCCCCAGCCTTCGACCTTTATCGAATATTGAAAATATATAACCCAAGTTTGCCATACGAAAAGCCTTGCTAGTACTGTCTACCACGACCAGCGTTTCGCAGCGCTGCCGCCACGTCGAGCGCATCCACTCGAACACCTCCCGAGCACGCAACAACGAGCGATTCCGGCTTGATCCCCCATATCCTATTCCTCCCTCGACAATAAGAGGCTACGGTACGCGGCAACCGCGACTGCAACGATGTCAACGACTTTGGACAACAGCAGCAACACTGGGCTGAACAAGCTGCTGCCAAAGTCGATATCCTCCAAGCGACTTCGAAGAAAACAAGACCGTGAACAGCCAGGGCTGTCCTATGACGATGCTAGCGTCTCTGCACATTCACAGTCGAGCCGAGAAACTTTAGAAAGCGACGGTACACGCTCCGGGCACGTTGCAGGAGACGAGGATGAGGGAACAAGCCAGAGCCATCGTTCCTATGAGTCCGATGGGGATGAATCGTGAGTTTTATTAAATCCCCTTGTCTCTCTCTGTTCTGTTTTTATTTACCCTTCTGCCTTTCCCCCGCCGCCATCAACTTAATTCCTCGTGGCAACGATCGCCGGCTTCCATGTTGTTTTTGCCAGTTCTGTTGCGTGGGAACAGCTGCGAGGCTGAGACCCTCTCGGTCAGTATCTGCGACATCCATGCTTAAGTGGCACCAAGAGGAGAGACAAACCATTCTACGTACTTAACTTATTGCACTAAGAGAGGGATGGCAGATCAAAGCTCCACCCGACGCTATGATCGTCGCGCTGACAAGCTTCAACTCGATTATTTGCCATTGCATGCTTCCCAGCTACCTCTCTTACAACGTCACTATCTTCCTGCTTTGTTTTGTTTCTGGTTATTCTCGTGCCCAGCAGGCTTGGCACATCTGCCGTCTTCCCCGTGTCCACTTCCCTAACAAACTCCACTTATCGGTGTCACCGTCTGTGCTCTCTACTGCATTTGATCAATCTAACTGGAGCCGTCGTCACTCTTTAGATCCAACTCTCGATACCCGCCGCCTTTCTCTACTCATCCCTCTCAAATAGGCCACCTAACGACAAACTCTTCCATCGTACAGGCAAAGTATCAACCAGAGTCACAGCCTTCGCTTTCGGACGTCGAATCAAACAGTAGTGCTTCAAAATCGTCAACGTTCCCAGCATCGCGAACAGACTCCATCGATCCAAAAGACCCCCGGATCGGCCGGAGTAAGACGGGCTTGCTCCCTCCCCAAAGTTCCGCTCGTCGTTCGCCATCACCTGCTGGTAGACTCAAGGGTATATTCAAGCCCAAGAAGAGCTCTGGGGATAATTCGAGTTCAGAGCGTCGCCCGGCAAGCGAGCCACAACCATCGTCTGAGACTCGCGACGAACAACAGCCCACCATCTCAGTGGATCCAGATCCTGATCAAGACTTGCCAGTTCTCGAGCCACCAGCTGCAGCTAAGGTTGCTTCGCCCGAAAGACGGACGAGGGTACAGCCCAAGGTTGACACGAATATCCCACCTCGAACTCCTCCAAGCGGTGACAAACCTGCCCCGGTTATAGTAAACACCCCACCTACACCTACTGAGTTCGCCAACAAATCCGGCCAATCGTCTCCCGAGAGGAAGTCCTTTTGGAGTAGCCCAGGGCACAATTCGGGTACTAATGGCCGTCCTTCCTCTCAGAACATGAGTGCGAACAGGAGGAGTCGATCGAATTCACAAAACATCGGCCCCAGCAAACTCTCTAACATTGTATCCGCGCCCTTGACACCGACCCAAGAGAGTGATGAACCAACTCCTACGGCGAATCAGAATCCTTCAGGCGGCTTTTTCTCGTCTATGATCTCAGCTGCCCAAAGCGCTGCCAATTCTTTCAGCAACACCAGTCTGAATATTGGCGGAAACAAGTCTCGAAGCGTGACGCCCAACATACAAGAAACACCCGAATCCGACGATACCCAAGACAACAACGAACCTGCCCCAGTGGCGCAAATGGAGGACAAGAAGGAAAACAGAAAATCCGCAGTGTCAACCATTGGTGCCGGTGAGCTGAGCCTCAGTCAACTTGGACTTGCCGAAGCTCCCAGCCTTGTCGCATCTCCAGTTAACGCCAGGTTCCCCGATGTGTCTGACACGCGTGCTCGGTCTGAATCTGCTCCCGTCGATTCTCCAGTGAGTCCTGTGGAGTTTATCCCAGAGGAGTCTTCCAGTCGCCCACGCTCACTCTATGAACCCGTGAGCCGTGAACGCACGCCCCCCCCTCCAGAGCTTACGAACAAAGAGAACGGTGTGCAAAGAACATCCAGTCTCCGAAGTGCTCTCAAACAGAGCCACAGGAAGCGTGGAAGCTCTGTCACAACTGGTACCACCATAGGAGCTGCAATTGCAGCTGCGAATAGTTCACTAGCTCATCCAAATCTAAGCGCACCTAAGCTTACGGGATTCGCCATCGCTAGTAAGAAAAGAAATCGCGATTTTCACGATTTGTTTAAGAGTGTGCCAGATGATGACTATCTCATCGAAGACTACAGTTGCGCCTTGCAGAGAGAGATTCTCGCGCACGGCCGCCTTTATGTCTCAGAGGGTCATCTCTGCTTCAGCAGCAACATTTTTGGTTGGACAACAACACTCGTTATGAGTTTCGATGAGATTGTATCTGTCGAGAAGAGAAGCACTGCACTGCTATTCAAGAACGGTCTAATGATTTCAACACTACATGCCAAGCACATTTTTGCCAGTTTCACAAGCCGCGATGCTACATACGATCTGATCGTGAACATATGGAAACTTGGGCACCCTACACTCAAAAGCACGCTGAACGGTGTGAGACTTGAGGGCACCGGTGGCGACAAAACGGAAAAGGTAGATGCTGAGCCTCCAGTGGAGGAGGATGAGACCCACGTAGGCTCGGAGACGGATGACGAGAGTGATGATGAAGAGGAGTACTATGATGAGGATGTCCACGAGGAGATGCACAATGCTAGCATAGCTGCCGAAACGAAAACCAACGGAGCAGATGCTGATGGTGAGAAGGCTGCTTCCCGGAAAGCATCAGGAGCAGCACTCCCAAGTGGGCCGGCATCTGAAGAGTCACCGCCCGCTGCTGGAGGCTCCGCGGACTTTCCAGGCCCGGCTGCTCATGCGCCCACTGAATGTGGTGACACCGCATCACATTACGACAGAGTGGTTGGCGATGATATTATCCCAGCACCACTTGGCAAGGTATACAATCTCATGTTTGGCCCAGCTTCAGTTGCATTCATGTCGAACTGGCTATCGGGAGAGCAGAAGTGCCTAGAGCTGCAGATGGAGGACAAGAAGGGCCTTACACTGGATAACAAAACACGAACATTCTCATACATCAAGCCACTCTACGGCTCAATTGGACCAAAGCAGACCAAGACTATTACCTCTGAGACATTAGAGACTTTAGATCTCGAGAAGTCGGTCAACCTTACCTGCTCAACCCAAACACCAGACGTGCCGAGTGGCAATGTGTTTGCGGTCAAAACCAGGTACTGCCTCTCGTGGGCCGAAAACAATGCCACAAGAGTGCAGATGAACTGTACAATTGAGTGGTCCGGCAAGAGTTGGCTGAAAGGTAATTGCAATAGCTCTTTATATTAACCAGATCCGATGCTAACATGGTCCAGGTCCTATCGAGAAAGGTGCGACTGATGGCCAGACTACATACGGAAAAGACCTGTTTGCAGCTATCAAAGCAGCAGTGTCATCCAAACCAGGAGGAGCAACGCCGTTAGCCTCAGCACTTAAGGGAGGCAAGAGGAAAGGCAAGAGGGCCAAGCTTTCGCAGTCAAATACTGGAGTTGTCGAGACCAGCGTTACACCCAAGCGGCCTGCTCAGACAAGTTGGGGTGTTCTGGAGCCTGTACGCGGAATCCTGGAGCCAATTGGAGACATTGTTCAACCTCTTCTCACTGGAAATGTCATGTATGGGCTTCTGGTAGGGTTGTTGGTTGCCACGTGGTTTGGCTTTGGTTTCACGCCTAGTCGAAATGCTTCATACGGTCGCGAACTTGGGGGCGTCTACCGACCGGACAGGGTTGCTGCTTATGAGGAGATGTGGCGAAGAGAGGACAGCGAGCTTTGGGATTGGTTGGAGGAACGTGTCGGAATGGACCGTCTGCAAAGCGACAACGTCGGGGCTCGCAAGAGGGCAATGGAACCAAAGACAGTTGAAGAGAACTTGCGTGCAACTCGAATGGGTGAAAAAGAGGTGGAAGAAGCAATTCGAGTCACGGAGGAAAAACTGAGAGTACTAAAGGGAGTTATGGAGAAGAAGAGCAAGCCTGACAGATCGACTGGTGATGATGTTCGATCACAGGGAGTATAGAAATTGTGTATATTTTAGTCATACGTCATAACCTGATGGGAGTAATCAGCGAGCTCCTTTGTTCTTTTGTCAATTACCTTTGTAACAACAAGAAAGCTATTGAATATATCTATTTGAAGAGTTAAGCATTGTTCAATGTCAGGGTGGGTTGTAACAGTTCTGTCGATGGTTGGTTACACAACTGGTGATGGGTGTCTGCATGACAAGGTCCGTGATGGTCAGATTGGTCAGCCTTATGCAAGCCGACAAGCCAGTGGTATTCTTGCCTCGATAACAAGGAAGCTGAGCGTTCCTGCATGGGCCTGGTTTGGTTCTGGGTGTCGTAGTTCCGTACCAGCTACTACACTCTGTAGACAAGCTGAGGCGTAGCTCCGACCACTCAAAGATAAACAGCCCTCGGCTTCGTGCAAAACCCTGCAAAGGAACACAGACAGAGGGACTTTTATGGACAATTTATACAGCGTCGAGATTGAAGAGTTTGATCGTTGAGTAAGGAGTTAGGTATTAATGTCAAGACGACAAGATTATTAGCCTACCCTGCAGCAAGAGGATCCAGGGAAAGCTAGCGGTTATCCTCCAAATTCTCTATTGCTTGGTATGTATGCTGTTTATTGCAATCACCTGATTTACTAATGTTACTTGTGAATGGCCTAATTCCGCAACGTTTCGGTGTGACGCAACCACACAGCGGAGACTTTGTATGTGACTAAAACAGCATCCCAGTCTCGCAGGTCTCCTCCTGCAATGTCTGGAGTAACGACAATACTCAGCAATTGCCGGTAGGCAGTAAGAAATTAGCATTGACAAAGTAATGGGGAATAATATTCAATACCGAACACGCACTCACTGTATCAAGACCGCAGTTTTCAAGGTCTCCCAGCATGTAGAGAGTTATGGGCCTATGGCTTAAGTTATTAGCTCAGCGCAGCTCAGCGCAGCTCAGCTCTGCCTAGCTTAGCTTAGCTTAGCATCCTCTTTTCTTAGGCATTCTCCAAAGCCGACTTGTACTCCGTACATAACTAAGGTAGCCAGTTTATGGGAGGCCACTGGGCGAGAGCTGTGTCCGCCTTGTTGCCTACCCTGCTTCCTCCAAGCCACTTGAACCAAACGACAGGGATGACGATGCAATTGTATTGGATGAAAGAAGCAAGCTTCATTGCTGGGGGACCCCCGCGTATAGACGGGCGGGGGATGGTTTGTGCTGCAATTCCATTCTGAGTGAGCTGTGCGAGGCTGATTCTGCCTCTAGTCTTCTCTTTGATGTAGGTACAGTATGTACGTACATACAGTAGTACTGAAGACTCACAACTCCCTGTTCATTCCTCATCGTCTCATCGGATTCAAAAAAGCCTTACCAGATGACGGAGCTTAACCAGCTTCTAAGGCACTGCCCGGAACAAGATCCTTCACCTTAAGGCAACTCTGTTCAACTTGGGTGCAACAGCAGATCCCACCATCCCATCGCCAGGCCCGGGTCCCACGGACGCATACATATCCGTACATACATACTGACTTGATTGACTACCTGTATCGCTTGCATTGGATGGATACAACCCAACACCTTTGATCCACCACCTCCCTCCACTTCCACCGAGCCGCAAGCTTAAGCTCTAACTAACTAAGCTCCAAGTCCTAGTCCAGGCCTTGAGTCCTACACACTCTTGTCTTATTCGCCCTAGTAGGACAGCATCCTCGCGAGCTGCCTCCCCAGGCGTTGAACTCATCTTCCAGTGGTGATAAACCTCAAAACAATCTATATCGACTATGGGTGGCGCATATGTCTGATTGTCTCTTTATTTGGCGAGGCTGATAATATTGCAATCTCTCGCCTCTTCCACCATCCTTGGAGTGCCTGCTTGGTCTTACTTGGATCGCTTTGTAATTGCGACAGCCCAACAAGCTCAACTTCGCAGTACAAGCTTTACTTACAGGGTCTGGCAGTCGACTTTTCTGTTGACTCTCGATGGAGTCAAAAAAACGTTTGTCCCTGGATGGGACAATATCTGGCTCGGGACCTTCAGCCCTACGCCGGCTCACTCGAAGCCCCAGTCATCGTATAAGTCTTCGGCGATCAAGCACTGAATCCACATCATCATCCTCCGTCTCCTCGATCACATCAGAAGACAATGAGGGATCACCAAAATCTTGTGTGTAAGAGACGATTTTCCCTTTCATTCATCTCGACAAGTCCTCCCCGACTCATTGGTGCAATAGGACCCGTGGTACTTCAAGCGACGACTGCGCTCTTCATCGATTCATCGTCTGGACTGCAGTCAAACGAAATGAGTGTGACAAAATGACTCCCCAAGAGAAGCTGGAGTGCCCTATGCTGCGCTGCCGTAAGCGGTTTGCCAACCACGAGCTCATGCTCCAGCACCTATACTCGTGTAGCTGGCTCTCCACGAGTGAGTATTGGTGTTACGACTGCGGGAAATCCGAACGATTCAACGATTCCAAGTGCAAGCGATGCCTGGGTCACCCATCACGAAGAAAGAAGATACTGTCCATGGCAAAGAGCTTCTTCAACTCCCTCGGTCACAAACCTAAGAGCTCAGCCCTGGAAGATCTTGACCTCGGCAGTGACATCGGTGAATCTGAGGCACCACCCAGTTACGATCTCGCAGTGGCACCAAGTGAGCTCGAGCTACCTTCGAATGAGATTCATGAGATTGGCTCCAGCGGTATTGTTTTACAAGCCATATTGGAGAATGAGAACGAAAATGAGGACGAGGCAGAGATAAGCCCGGCCCCCATGCTCACATCTTACACCTCATCGCTGCCTACACAGCACCAGGCACAGAATCTGCCTGCTCACCCCGCCGAGCTCGAATCAGATGCAACCCTCAGCGACCCGCTCGATTTCATGCTGCCGCCAGGCACTGTTGTCCCTGTAAACCTCATCGACCCTGGCTGCAACATAACTTCCGTGCGGCCCACCCTTCAGCTTCATACAGAAGGTCTAGAAGAGTACCGCAGGGAACAAAAGAGACGCAGTAAGGGCCAGGTCGCACCTAGCACCTCGGTTCGCTCAACGGCCAGCACAAACTCCACGTCGAGCACAAATACGACGGACACTACTTTCAGCAGAGACAGCTACAACATCTCTCCCATCTCGTCGTTCTCTGATCAATGGGCAAGTGCACCAGTCTTCGACTCAGACTTCACCTCCACTGAGAATGGCTTTGGAAGCCCAGGAGGCCTCCTCAGGACGAACTCGTTCGCCATATCTCACAAGGCACCCGCAGCCAAGGGCTGGAACTCGCTCGAAAACGAGGCAGTCATGTCCTATGACTCCCAACCGACTGAGCTCCCCACAAACATCCACATGCTCGGTGCCTTGCCTGCCACTAAGTCTGATACTGGGAATCTCAACCAGCCCGTTTTCACATTGAATGACTCTTTCCTTTGCTCTACCTTCGAACTTGATGCCAACATTGCCCTCATCGACAATAATGTCACAATGCCACCGTCCCTCCATCCCATACCACCTCAACCTAAGGCCGAGTCCTATCATAACCCTCGGTCTCTGATCGGCATGGCATGGAGTACTCTTCAGATGCATGTCGCTGACTCTCTGACCAAGCTTCATCATATCACCAAGAACCACCTTGTCATACAGCTCAGAAGCCTTACGGCTCCAGTGATAGCTACAAAGGGACTCGAAACTCTCATGGATATCATCGAAGGCCGTCAGCCGACTGTTCCCATCGATGTCCTCTGTTTTGTTCACTTGGTCTACTGTTTCTCGCTTATTGTTCACGAGCAAGACGCTGCAAACAGATCTTCGGATCTTTTTGTTCAAGCGATGTCGTACAGCGCCTTGTTTTCACGTCAAGATCGCCAGTTGTATATACAGATTGTCGAAACCCTGTGGAAGCCAGCTGATATGAGCAATGCTGACCTCGTGAACCTGGTTCGAGCCAAGACATCATTAATGTCACACTCCCCCGGCTCGAAGGGGAAAGGAATTGAGTCTAGAAACATGCTCTCCGCCAGTGCCGACTCGCTAGCGTTTTTAGCAATGTATTTCTTAGACCAACTGGAAAATGCCACCATCCATGTGGTAGACGACACAGAAGTTCTATCATCTGATCTCTTTTTGGGCCACTGCAATAACCTAGACCGAGCTCATATGGATTCGACACAAACCATGGCTGCAAATATCATACTCAAGCACAACTTTCAGCTATATACTCATTATCAAGCCTTTGCAAACGTTCTGGACAACATCTCTCGTCGCGCCAACTCGGAGTCGATGCTGCCACGGCGCTTAGAACTCGAGCTTATGGAGTGTGGAAAGGTAAGTGGAAAACAGACGCTCGAAGGTCAAGACTGGACTAAACAATACAATACAGATGTACCTACCTCCAGACATTTACTTCGACGGCTATATCCGCTTTGTTCGAGAACAGATGGATTCTATTTATTGCACGGCTACAGCAGAGGGCTCTTACCGGGCTCTCTATTACCGGCAATGCATTGAGCTTATCAAAACTGTTATTGGTGTCTCGTCACAACCGATGGCTGAGCGCGCGGTTCAAAACAGCTCAGTGACGCAGGACGGCTTTGATGATATCGATGAATTCTTCAATGTCATGTCGCCGAACAACTTCAATTTTAGCTCGGTTGGTCCATTTGATGCAGGACAACCTTTGGACTTCTCATGCCTGCCGAACACAATTGATCCTGGCACTTTGAACCCGCTACCGCTTCCTACGCCTGCAGACACAAATTCGGTGCAGGCAACTTCAACAGCCGCAAATTCACCTCCTTCTCCAGCTCCAGCAGCATCATCCTCCTCTCCAACAGCAAAAACCAAGTCGGACAGCAGTTGCAAACTGTGCGGATATACACCGGAAGGTGATCCTCGATGGTTCAGCGGCAGTATGGCCAAGCACATGAAACTGCAACACTCAACAAAACCTCCAACCATCTACCGCTGTCCATATCCCGGCTGTACAAGTCAGTACAAGAATAGACCAGACAATTTGCGCCAACAC